TTTGCTTCGTTTTCACTCTCCATTTTATCGTAACTTTCTTATAAAAACATCGAATCAAAAGGTCACGTGTTGAGTCAGTGACGTCACTGACCTTCTCCTCGAGAGATACCGCAGTCTTTAGTATTTGGGGCTCAGATATCAAACCGATTAATGGCGGACGGGATTTTTACTACTTTCGAAGCTCGATTTTTCATATTCTTTTGACTTTGTCGATAAAAAAATTAGCCAGCATGCTTAGTTAGACTTCAAAGTACTGGATTATGCACAAAAATTCTTTAAAAAGAACTTTTTTTTTCGTCGTAGCCGCACTTTAATGATTAATATGTTCTTGAACTTTTTGATCTTCTAATGATTATGTAACTACAGACTTTTGCTTACACCAATGTCATTTAATAGACAGAACATTACAGCTGTCACTTGAAGATATGAATTTTATCTTCAAGTTTTGAATTTATATATCCCACGAGTTAGCACAATAATATTTCCATGCACCCATGTAATATCCTTTATTTAATCACACAGGAATGACAAATAATAATAAATACATTTTGGCAGTCCATATTTTTCAATCATACAGTGATCCAAAAAATGATTTATGGGTCATTTATGCAATTTGACAGTTTTGGTGGTTTATAATAATTTAATCCTACAGGAATGACACTAATCAATACATTTTTGTCATACAGTGATCATAATGATAAGTAAAATACACTTTGACAGTTTTGTAAACAAAGGAATCATAATGTTCATAATGATTATCCATTTTTTAACTTCTCAAATTCTTTGCTTATCTTTGCTCTCTGTATTTGTTGACAGTTTGTATTAAAGAGTTTATTGAAGAATAAAGAGTAAAAATCTGAACATTSAAATAATATCAAGGCTCTCTTTTAAAAATGCATAGTTTTATAAATTAAAACATCCGAGTAGTTTTATGTCAAATAAGATTATTATTGTGSATAGAATGTACGTGTACGAAACGTGTACACAATTCACACATAATTTCATTGTCAACAAGCTCATTTAACTGAGAAGTTTTGAAGTGTATCAGGTGAAGATTTTCAAATTCAAAAGCAAATTTAAACCAGATTAAAACTGTCAAAGGTTCTTGAAGTAGAAGAATTGATATAAGTTAATTTGAGCACCAAAAACCGCTTGCACATCCCGGTTGCACATATAATCTAACATACCGCCATTTGTTTAATAACGCCACGGTATTGTTGGAGAATATGTCAGTACTCCTCTGAGAAATTCTCCATCAATAATCGTTGTCTTTGTTTCTCCATTTAATTGGTTTTGTACTTCTGGTTTCGTCTCTCACGTTTTCCCTTACAATCCTGCGTTGTTCTTCACTTAGACTTCTTCGACGCTCTCTTTCTCTTCTTCTTGTCTTTTTTTCTTCAGATAAAGATAGCTTTCCGTTAGCTACCCGTTGATTTTCCGACATTTGGCGCAGAAGTAAAGTATTTGAAAGGACAAAAATGGAGTCGTTGCGGTGAAAAAGTTGTTTCAACAATTGACGCGAGCGCGACACTCCGCGAGCGCGTTTCCTTTTCCCGCTTTCTCAAAAGTGGCCAATCAGAATCGCCATGTACACGGACGGACGTACGTACGGAAGGACAACTGGGCTTCCTGTGTCGGTTGATCAAAACTCAACTCCATGGGTTTACCATAGGCTACCCAACTATTGCTTGAGAGAAAGAATGAATGCGCACGCTTATATTATCTTATCGCATTGGCGCGCGATGCGGGTTTCCTGTGGTATTACGTCACTGATTCCTTGGCTCGCGGGTATGTTCATCATTTAGTGTGCGAGAGGCGAGTGTTATGGTTTCTCACTTCCTGGCCGCATGACATGGCACAGAACAAATCCAAAACCATCTTTGTCATGATCATAGTGTGTAAGCACTGCATCGTAAATACTGCTCCCTGTCTACTTTTCCAGTGCCATGGAGTACCTTGTGTCGATTTCTTCCTTCTTCGATACGTTTAGTTCATAATTTTTCAAAAAGAAAAGTTTGAAAAGTCTGTACTACAGGTT